TCTATTAGTCAGGAATCATAGTACATAAACAGTAAACTGAAATATTGTGCTTGGCTTATCTAGAAATAGTCAAGACTACTTATATTTAATAACTTAATACTGTCCAAAACAATTAAAACATACAGAAAGTGATACGGACAAAAGTATAGTGAGTGCAGCTATAGGCATTTCCACAATACACTGGGACCTTGCTATAGATTTTTTATTGAAACAGATAATGCTGAAGTGAAGTCAAGCACAACAAACCACAAGTGTGCTCTAGAATTTCATCACACTTAAAACCATATTTGATAAATCCATCAAGGATTTTTTCCATCTTAGGAAAAGCTGACTTTTTTGAATGAACTCTGAACTTTTGGTACAGTATTATTATAGACTACCCACACCAGATGTTGGGCGATTGCTGGTTTTCTGTAAACCACAAATTGTGATCAGTTTCCATGAAGACAGACAACTACACTAACCACGTCACCAAAAAAAAAAAAAAAAAAAAAAAAAAAAAAGAAAAAAAAAAAGAGTTGATTTTCCCTAAGTATCCTTTTAAGCTAACTACGAGACCTCAGCTCTCTAGTGCTTACGCTGCTGCTCAAATGGAGCAGCAGCCCTGTGAGCTTCTACCAAACGCCACAGACAAGGATCACGGCAGGCTTCCCGGGAATCTCCAGCTAAGGAAATCTGGCAAGAGACTGCAGCCAGTGTCAAGAGGGGGAAGGTCTGAAATGTTTCAGAGCCGGGAGAGAGGCCATAGGAAAGCAGGGGGACAGAGGGCCGTTCTGACTCCCACTACACACGTTCACATAGCCGGGGACCGACGAGGGACACAAGAGACTCCTCAACACCGGCGGCCGAGCACGGAAGCCGGCTCCATCCATACGTGGCGCTGGCCTTTACCCTGCCCGGTTACGCTGTTCAGGGCTCTCCCCTCTTCCCCTCTGCACAGCCCCCCACCGCCGCCCGCCCCATGTTACCTCTGCGGCGCGGTACGCCCCCGCCGGCCACACCCGCGCCCCTCACCAGTCGCTAGATGACATGGGCTCGGGCGGGTGCCGGGGCAGGGCGGGACGCGGCGCTGGGCAGAGCGGCGGGGGCTCATCCTCAATGATGTGGGGCAGGGCAGGCCTGTGGCTGTGTTCTCCAGAAGACTACGCTGCGACACCCCAGCCGGCGACAGTGCAGTGACACCGGGACGGTGACCACCGGGCGCGGCAGCGCGGACGGGGGCCCCAGAACTCCGCAGCACGGGAACACCGACAACCACCACCGGGCACCACCAACAAGCGAGCCGCGCCGATTGGCTCCGAGTGGCCGGCGCAACTGCGCACGCTGAATTGGCTGTGACTGCGCGCCTCGGGCTCTGCCCCCTTCCGGGTCCGAGCCCGGGATTGACTGACAGGCGGGGGGCGGGAGGGGGCGAGGGGAAGAAGGCCGGTCGCTGGGCGTGGGTCCTGGGGGCGTGCGGGGAGCCACAGTGGTGGGCGGGGTCGCTCCGTGGGCGGGTGTCGGAGGTGGCGCAGGCGTTAAATCAAAATGGCGGCTGCGGGTGAGGAGGGATGAGGGTAATACATGTCTTGTAGTGGGCGAGGGAGGGGGCTGGAATTAACAAGGAGATTAAGGAAAGTCAGGGAGCTGAGGTGCCTCCCGCTGGCAGACTTCACGGGAGAAGCAGCGTCTCTGCAAAGAGAGGGGATGGGTTTCTGGCGAGGCAACGCCTCCCTCCAGCAGGGCTCAAAAGCTAATAATCAGTCTGCAGGTCTCCTCAAAATAATAATCGAGAAGGCTGTGCTGATTCAGGCTGCGTTATGCTACTGCAGTTTGTCTCTCTGACAGAGCAAGTGGTCTAATTTATGAGACACAGCTTGATTTTTTATGAGGCTTTTGACACCACCTGGGGGCAGTCTCATAAGCAAACTTGGCGTGTGGGCGGGATTTGCAAAACTGCGCTTGTAATTACCTATGGTTCACTTCATGTGTGCTTCAAGTAAACTCCCTGAGGGCTCAGTTCAGTTCTTGATTAACGTCTCAGATGATGCAATGGGTGCTACAGATTACAGTTTAATCTGGAACAGGATTAGGGCGTAGCATTTTAGGGTGGGAAGCTGGAACCAAGACAAGCAGTACCTACTGTAAAATACAGAGTAAAAAAAAACACACATCACTTTTTTTTTTCCAAAAAAATCGTTAATGATATATTTTTTCCAAGAAAAACATGAATGATGCCTTAATGCCAGTGGCCAAAGTTTCTACATGTTTCTTTAAAGCCACAGTATTATGCCATGTGGTGTGAGCATTAAGACCTTAAAAGAACCTAGCTATTTTTTAAACCACAAAACAGTTGAAAGAGAAGTTATGTATGTGCTTCAACAGAAGTTCAGTTTGGGAAAGATTGAGTAGAAGTTGTATATAGGTGAATCTCAAGTGTTTTTATCTGTGCCATCTGATGAAGTAAATGTGAATAGTACAGTCTGCTTTCTGATTTTCTCTGTATAAAAGTTTAGTTTGCCAGCAGTCGTTCACCATTATAACTAATCCCACACGCTACATGAAATTTATTTATGCATTATTTTCCTAGTGATAGCTTCTTTGAGCTCCAGTCACAAATGTACTTCAGAGGTGGCCTTGCTCCAAGTATGCTGCCAGTTGGCCTAAGAACAGTGATGACCATCTGGGGAGATAAGGAAGTCCAAATGCAGCTGAAGTCAGTCATAAAAAATGCTTTATTGCACAATAACAAGTTCAAGTGAATAGCTGGGGCAGGCATCCTTTGGAGAGGTAAAGGGCTCGGTGGAAAAATGAAGAGGGTTTAAGTAGAATAAGGCCCAAGATTCTATATGAGAAAAATAATTTCTAGAACCTGGACTGCCCCTCAAGTCTTTAAAAAAAAATACTATTGTAAGGAATAGAAAACTACAGCAAAGAACAAAGAAAAGTTGGAAAATAAGTCATGAATAGGACATAATGGAGTCCGAGTCAGCCAAAATCGTGACATAATAACCAAAGGCTTTTAGCAATAAGTTTCTATGCAAGATTTTTATCTTGTTTACAGGACTTTTAATATTTTCATTGAAAATTAAGATATTAACTACTTTGCCTGTTGTTTATTGTTCAGGTTTTTGTAATCGACCCCATCTTATAGGTCAGTAACAGAAATTTCTGCTATCTTGTGCTGCCTCTGCATAAGCAGCAGCAAGCTAATAAACACCTTTCACAGAACAGAGGTGCTGTAATTTGATTTGCTAGTGCTATGCTGAGGTGATAAAGTAACATTGTAAAACAAAAGTAGCTCAAACAGGTTAACCTGAGCCTCTGTTTAAACTATGTCTTTTGGTTTGGCTTTTTCTACTCCTGGAAAGCTACAACATTGTTACAGAAAAATATCCTATTTTAAGACTTTCTGAAGAAATTACAGGTTGTGGAGATGAAAAGCCGGAACAAGTCGTTGAAGAGTCCTTTTTAAAGTTCAACAGCCAGATTTGTGTACTACTTGCTTGACAATAAGGAACTGTCCATCTGGCTTTTTTCAGTCTGTGATGAAAAGGTCTGAATTATCACAAATAAACATGTAATTATAAGAAAATAATAAGCCTCTGACCACCATTGTTACTTTTTATAGCAGCTCTAGACTTTTAAGTCAATAATCTATAACAAAAAAAGGTAAAATGGAAAAAGCAGCACTTAAAAAGGAAAACGGGTATACTTGGCCATCTTCAGAATTTGAGGAGGAACATCAGTTTTGAGTGACTTAACAGCGTACAGAGGGTATGTTTGTCTTAGTTTTGCATCTCAGTTCATTGACTGTTGAAGGGTTATGGGTTGCCTGTGCTCCAAATGTGTATACTCATTTAAGGTTAGGGGAGACAAATCTAGGCTATAGGGAGGACAGTACCCCAGTAGGCAGCTTTCTGGTGACCTGTTAATCTTATCAATCCATCCGGTGTAGTCTGGACCAGACTTAGGCTACTTGGTGGAATTAGAGGAGAAGATGTAAATGACATAAGGAACAAATGAACTCTGCACTCTGTGCTATCTGAAATTGACCCTGAATGTTGAAAAAAAGTGGTAATCATTTTTATCAGCCAATAATCAAAAAGTTCAGTCTATATATCAAAAATTAAAATAATTAATTTTTTTCTTTTCAGCTATGCTAAATGTCAAGTGACAGATTTCCCCCTTCACATATCTATTTATGGTCCACAAGTGGCCTAATTATTACCAGTGTCCTCTGAAACCTTGAGTAATAATTCTTATTGGTAGCAGTAATACTCTGATTAAGAAAAAATTACTCAGCTCCAGGCTTAACTTCTGCTGATACTAAATAAGTTCCTCATGATCTTTCTCTTTTATGAACTTGGAAAAAAATATTATAAAATACTGGAAAATTTGTATTACAGAACTAATAGAGGAAGATTCAATGTAACACCTCCTAGCAGGGAAGACTTGCAAAAAAGTATCTCCAAATTTATTAAAAGTATGTGCATCTTGCTTTCAGAAAACCTATCCTCCTACTGAAACAGACAGGGTTATTAAATTCCAGATGACAATACTGTTTAAGAATAGTTTGGAGAAGAAGTCTGGGGATCGAACAGCATGGAAAGGAGGATGGTGATGGATGAGGACTCCCGGAATTCTGATCAATCTACTTGAAAGTTCCCCCGTGAGGGTGAAGTAGGAAATCGAGATGCAGTGAGCACCCAGGAGCTTTTACCCATCAAACAATGGTCAGCAGAGCAGGGTCTTCATCTTGCATGACTGGGAACACTTCCGCGTAGCTCTGTCATGGCAGATACTCTGATGTCTCTTCTTTAACTTGCAGGATTTCCAACTTATCTCATTAGACCTTGGGAGCATCTCTGATGCTCAAGGTAGATTTTCTGTTATTGTAGTAGTCCAGATACCAGTGATGTGAGATGTGTGCAATGAGAATGCATTGTCCCACATTTGTTCAGAATTCCCATATTTAAAAAAAAAAAAAATAAAAAAATTTAAAAGAATAGTAAAAAATTATGCTAAAGGGCCAAATGTACATGAAACAAAAATTGCATTTACATACTGTAAGTAGTAAAAGAAGTTTTGTGGAAACTGGCAAAGGGACAGTCACTCTCAGTGATTGGTATATAATCTTCAATACAATCAGAAACTGCAGTATGTTTAAAGTGGATGTTTTCTGTTGTGATGTGAAATATTTTGCAGAAGAGCATGATTTCTAAACAAAGTGGGGCTTTTATTCTGTGGGAAGTTTATTGTAAGAGTGCAGCACGAAAATTCAATTTTTGGTCTGTCTTTCCTGCACATCTTTCACTCTGATCTTCCTAAATAGAAGGAGCAAAGCTGCAGACTATTTCAGAGCATCAGCCTCCCATGGAGAGAAGAGGATAGATGGAAATGTGCGAGAATCAAAGACATTCTCTTGGGCTTCATAAGGACTTTCCAGTGCAAATCTCAGACTCCTTAACCACAGCAAATAACACTGCTGGTCATGAGACAGTCTCACAGACAGGGGAGAGGCAAGATCATGGTGATTAGGAGAAATGGAGGATCTGTCTATAGCTTCTGAACTGGTGGGAACAGAGAGGAACTGCCTTTCTTACCCTGTTCCAATGATTGGGAAAAAGAGGTCGTTTTTTTTCAAAACTTTTTTAAAGACTAGGTAAATGTCCTGTTTACAGTACAGCTGATATATTTCTGGCCATTTCGTGCCCAGATGCAGCTATTTGGGCCATATTGGTGCTATCCCTGAACAAGTCATCTGATACCCTCTCTGGCCCTGAGTGCTAGATATAGTGGCTTTGGGGTTGCTGCTGCCAGTATGGTCCCACTGTGCTCAGTCAGGGTGGCAGAGGGTGCCCACCTACTGCCACACAGTGTGCCACACAAAGTGCCATGGCCAGGATGCACTGCACAGCACTGGGCACAGTGGGATGCACCCTATCTCTGAGTGTACCAGTGTGACCTCTGCAGGAGTTCACGGCCCACCTGAAGTCATGCCTGGAGACTGGGTTATCTTACTCCAGCTGCATGACCAGGAATGCCAGGAGCACCTGCAGTCACCACTCCTGCACATTGATCTGCAGTGACTTACCGCTGTTGTGGGAGGTATTGGTTCCCAAAATGGGATAGCCCTGCATTAAATAGTATGTTGGCAAAGATAGCATGGCATTCCCTTTACATCGCCTCCAGATAATTCTCCTCCAGCCTTACCTTACTTCTTTCTAGGTCTTCTCATGTGTTAAAAACCTCTTGATGGCAGAGTGTTTGGAAGATAAAAAACCTCAAGGAAATAAAATCTTCACAGCTACTAGGCACACCTTTGCACTTACCATGCAGTGCCATCTACAGTTGAAAAACTCTTCTGACACTCAGATGACACCGCAGTATTGTTTGGTTAGCAGCTTGCAGGCTTAGCAGAGCAATTCTGCAACAAAAACTATAGTAATGCAGTTTTCTTTGCAAGCCGAGCTTGTTGAGTGCAGGCTCAGGACTCAAGGCAGATCTCTTATCTAGTCTCAGCATTGCCAGTGGCTCACTCAGTATTGCTTTAGGCAGTGGGGAGAATATTCATCCTTCCTCACTTCCACCATAGTCTGTCTCCATGCACAGTAACAATAAGCTCCTCCACTGGAACTGTAGAAAACAGGAACTTAACTATTTTGCTTTAAATTGTCCCTTGTAGGAGGCTGTTTCTGATCACTGACTCCCCAGCAAAATAGAATCATACAATGGCCTGGGTTGGAAAGGACCTTAAATATAATTTAGTTCCAATCTCCTGCCATGGGCAGGGACACCTTTCACTAGACGGCTTTGCTCAGAGCTTCATCCAACCTGGCCTTAAACACTTCCAGGGATGAGGCATCCACAGCTTCTCTGGGCAACCTATTCCAGTGCCTCACACCCTCACAGTAAATAATTTCTTCCTATTGTCTAATCTAAACATGCCCTCTTTCAGTCTGAAGCCATTCTCTTGTCCTGTCACTACATGCTCTTGCAAATAATCTCTCTCATTCTTTCCTGTTGGCTCCCTTCAGGTACTGAAGGGAAATGGAGGGAGGTGGCTAATAGGGCTACCTAAAGTACATTGAAACATGAATAAAAGGCTGAATAAGAAATGGTAAATATTTCAATAGCTAAAATTTGAGATTCAGTTTTAGTTTAGTGTGTGATGAAATTACAAATGAAGATGCAAGTGAAGTGATAAAAGAAGTGAGTAGGGTCTCCTTTTTCTGAATTTTTTAAAACATATATATAGAGTCATAGAATATGAGTGTGAGTCATAGGTTTGGGTTGAAAGGGACCTTAAACATCATCTTGTTTCAACCCCCTGCCATGGGCAGGGACATCTTCCACTAGACGAGGTTGCTAAGGGCTCCATCCATAATAGTTCCTATTAGCTCTACTAACTGAGATATTCTTCTCCATTTCCCCACAAAACTCAAATTCATAGTGCTTATGCTCACTGTTTGACTCGCTGTTTCAGACTAGCTTAAGGAACACTACGTTGTCAGAAGATACCAGTCTCCCTTTATGGTTTCATTACACAGGAAATATTTTCAGGTGTGCAAAAGGCAAGTCTTTCTCAGCAACTGAACTGAAAGTGTGGACCTCTTCCCGCAAAATATCATCTCCTGTGCAAACTGCTAGAAATACTCTCTCGTCTGTTCTGGATGGAAGAAGTCTTCAAATCGCCTGCAGGGAGGCCTCTCAGAGAAGTACAAATCTGTGGATCAAACATTAATCAGGATGTAGAAGAAGGTGGCTGGCTGGTTGTCCCACCCAGCTCAGCGGCTGCGGTTCTCTCAAGGACATCACACGTATGGCACCACTAGATGCCACTGTCGAGACACATTTGTTCTTTGATCTGGCTTCTCCAAAAGTATTCAGGAAAATCACATTAAAAGAATGGCAAGATATGTTTATTTGTAGCGTTTTGGGTGGTCTTATTCTGAAAACATGACAGGAAAACACAATCAAAGAAGCTGAAATTTCTAGCGAATATGGTATAGTTTCCTGAAGTAGAACCAGGGAAATATCTTTTCAGACTACTCCAAGTAAGTTCATTTTGTATTTAGTTGTCTAAATACTTACAGTACCATTTAGAGACAGAATAAAGTTCTTTCACCTAATCACAATCCTACTTAAATATTATAGAATCAAAATTAGGGAGCGAAAGTGGCGTGTGAGATTTCTATTTAATTAGACCAGGAAAAAATGCTAGTTCTTCCCTAGTTTTGCCAAAGTCCTCTTATCTGGGAATATATGCCTTCCTTGCTCAGCTGCAAAACGTCTGTTCTTTCTCACATGAAAGGCAGCTGATAACCAACAGCCAGGACAAAAAGAAAGGAACCTGTAAGCTGGGCCATTCTTCCACTTCCTTTTTCCAATAGTGAAGAAAATAAGAAGTATCCCATTACCCTGAAGGTATATTGTGGAGGACTCCATCCAGCTATTTGACTGGGACTAAAGCAAATTTGCAATCCTATTTCTAGACTCTAGAAACTGAAATAATCCCTTAATCGTGAGAGGTTCTCCTTCTGTCGCAGAACGTGTCCGCACGCTCCCACATTTCTTTGGTCTAGTGGTTACCTGAACAGCTATCCTTATGCTAAATATTGCTCAGCTCCTGCCAAGGTACCTGCAGGCAGTGGGACCGTTTCCAGGCTCGGGTAGGCTGGCACAATAGGGAGACTGACCTGAAGTTCCAGCTGAGAAACAGTGACACACGGCTGTAATTCTGATGCTGTTTTGAGCAAATGTGAGACTATTTTAATTTGGCATCATTTGGAAATGAAATAAAAGGACTTGTGCTCAGAATCTATAAGTGGCAATTCAGTGAATGTTTAGTATTTTGAAAAGTGAATCAAAACCTGTAGTATTTGAAATTCAAAATGTTGTTAAAAATGCAAAGACATTAATTCATTTTTCATTTTTAAAAGTAATTTTTACTATGCATACGTCTTCCCTAGCTGTTGCAGCTTGAGAGTTTGGTCACTAGTAAATTGCAGAACATGTGGCTGCTACTTCTTGAAAAACAGCCTTATCAGCTTGCTGCTTTTAAGGTTCTTTTTTTTTTTTTTTTTTTTTTTTTGAACAGAATAAACCTGTCAAGGCAGATTACATACAGGATTGGATTAAGTTTTTACTAAGCCAGTAAGTATTTTCTCAGGTCAGTGAAGATACTGTAGACCCACATTGCTAGATCTACAATATAAGTTATGTGGATTTCAGAAATACTCCTCTTTTTAATACAAATCAGACTAGATCTTGTTTTCAGCAGAGCCTCACAAACATACCTGAGCACAACAGAACAACTGCAGCACAGACCTGGGAATGAATGTGTAGGACAGAGGATAGGATGGAGAGGCAGGAATTTCGTGGGCCAACTATGCAAGAAAAAGAAAATGTGGAATACACCACAGTCTGTTACACAGCTCACAGCACCCTTCTAATGTCTTTCTTATCAGCAATAAAACTGGAATACTAGCATAAGACTGCCCAGACTGCAAATGGATGTTTTAGCAGAGACATGTAACATTTTCAAGATAAGTGGTAAAATACTTCGAAATCACTGTGACAGCCAGGAAGCTCCAGGTTGGCTCACCATACTAGTTCTATTTCAGCCATTCACGTAATGACAGTGTAAATGGAATAGAGACTGCCAAAAGTACAGACTCCTTGTCTTGCAAAGTAGTATGGGAAAAGATTATGTGAAAAAATATTCACAGATTAAAATGTTTTTTAAAAAGAAGGAGGACAAGAAGCAACACTCAGCTATAAGTGCTGGGCATCAGTTCACCGACTAATGACATGGTTAAGAAAACCCCAGGAGCCCACTCTGCTGTGGTGATGGGATCCTTGGCTTTGAGACCCTGCCTGCCCCGGGGGAGCCCCTGCCACTCCATATTCCAGCCCCACTATGCCCTGACATTTGCTTTATTTTGAGGAAAGTGGTCATTTCTCTCTGAATATACCCATTTGTTTGCCAGGTACTCTTCCTTGCTCTCTCAGCTCTATTTTTACAGAAAATAATAGAACGGAAGAAATAGAGAGCATTTTTCATGCCAAAGCTCATTAAGCAAACTTGGTTCAGCTCCCAAGCAAAAAGAAAAGGAAAGGAAAAAACAACTCAGAATCCTGTTTTCCCCTGTAACTCAGTAGCATCCTTAAAGAGCTGACCTGTGAGAAATTATTTTTGTCTATCTTTTAGTTGCCTTAGTAAAGAATTCACAGCAGTGTCTCACCTCAACATTGTCTTATGTCTTGGCTCGGCTCTATGGCAGCACAACAAAACCTTTATGATGTTCTAACATCATGTGCAGGTACATTTTATACTAAGTGGCATTATGCTATCCTCCCACCAAAGCATGGAAAAAAAGGCTGGGGAACAGATACTCAGAGGTGGTGTTGAAATAAGAGACCCGTAAGGAATTTTTAAGTGACTGGTGTTGCATAGTGGTGAAAGGAATGAGACACAAAACACAATTTCTGTAATAAACAGGTCCAAATAGATGGGGTTTAATGATATCATGTAGTCAGTGTAATGATTCACTCTCTACTCTGTAGGACATTGCTGTTACAAGCCCTCCTCAGCATCCTTTTCTTTTTGCAGCCTGCTTTTATATGACTTAAAGCCTTGCATTCAGTCTTTTTCAGCCTGAACAGATTATGGCCAGCTTTTTCTCAACTCTGTCCAACAAAGAGGTCTGTATTACCAGCACAGGCAATATCGTTGCACAAGAGCATTTTCCATGTCCTCACATAGTCAAACACCAAAGTTAGTGTAGCTTTATGCAAAAGACAGGCTGGAGGGGAAGAAGATAACAGAAAACTTCTTTTATAAAAGCAGCTTCTGAAAAGTAAGAAGCTTAATCTGTCTGCTCCAGTCTTTTAAGGAGTATCTCCCTTTAAGAGCTAGTAAATCTCTGATCTGGGACTCAGCTGCTGATCATATAAAAATGGCATATGTCACTGAACCTTCAGATGCCTCAGCACCTACATATATTTTAAACTCATAAGCACTCACAAAAAGTCATGTCCAGATGGTATAAGACTTAAACCTGGTTTCTCTCTCTCCTTGGCACTTGATTATCTCCTAGCTATGCTCTTTATATTGCTTGCACTGCTTGTACCTTCTAATTTATATCTCTTTAAAACATTGCCATTTTGGTAAGGTGACACTACACACATACCTGTAAGTGGCTGCATCGGATATAAAGTAACAGAAGATTATGTCTGTTGTTCTGATCTGTCCTGCAGAAGGTAAAAATCTAGAGAAAAAAGGAGAACGGGAATTACCAGCTGCTAAGACAGCAGAAGATAAACAAAGCCATTATCCTCCCATCAGATAAGGAAGCAGAAAAAAAATTCTGGAGTGACCTCATACACTTCATCTAGGATTGCTTTTCTCAGATTCTAAAATGTAGGTATGTAATGAAAGAAAGTCCATTAAAATGTTTTAAGGAATTTTGCCTGAAAACCTATGAACCAGTGTCACCCTGTTACCTTCAACAGAGTGCTTGATCACTCTAACAAACAGCAGTGATTCATTCTATAGCACACTTACATGACACTTATCAGTTTTTACCTATATGCAGCAAGCACAGCAATGCCTATAACAATACAGCTGAAATGCTAGGCATCTGGCTCATGCACCTGAAAAATGGTAGGGAGGTAATTTCTTCTCTCAACACAAGAGAGAATACTCCCAGTGCATCTCTCGTGCTGCAAGAGGAATACTGAAAAGATTAATGCCTCTCAATGAGGAAGCCAGGCGATCATGAGCTGCCTGTGCCACTTGCACAAGGAGAGAGGAAAGCATTCCTTTGGTGTCCTTTGCCTCCTGGGGGACATGACAACCTCCTTGTAAAACTGCAGCTGCTGGTAAAAGCTCAGGTCAGTGACTCTGTAATGTGTCAAACTGGTCTTTTTTACCAGTATATCTATAGTGTTTGTGCATCACTCAGACATACATATATACAGTTTATATATGCAGCTAAGCAAATAGGGCTTACTCTGAGTACTTTTACTTTAAAATAAGTACTTCTAAAATTACTTTTGAGTAATTTTACAACTATGACCCCTTTCACAAGCCATTTTACCTCAGAATACTTTTTTTGTTTGTCTTTAGATATATGCCCCGTGCCAAATGATATCAGCATTTTAATTCTCTGAAGTAAGATAAACACATGAATCCTAATACTCCTTATGAAGGATTTAGACAAAAATGAAAAAAGGAAACCAAAAACCGCACAAGGTTATAACCAGTTGTAGTCAGCTTGTTCAAAATGTAAGTTTTGAAGCTATCCTGTGAGAAATGCGGATAACAACAAAAACTGATTCAGCTGAGTTCATAAATCAGATGATTCCTTTCAAACATTAAGAGTTAATACATCTGTTATACTGGCTAGAGGCTGCTCTTTATGGTAAGTCAAAGAAAAGCATGGGACATCTCCAGGATGCTCTACACATTATCGCAGAAGCTTTTTAACAGCTGAAAGGCTACTTTGTCCAAAAGGGGAGTATCAGAGAGCCATGAAAGTTGTAGATGCATTTCGGATACCAAAGTACCAAAAAGGAACATCATCAGTAATAAAATGCTGTGCCCTAAGCAATGCAATCTGGTGAATAGCTTTAATCGGGCTCCCAGAAAAGTCCAGAAATGGAAGCAAGAAACTAGTAAGGGAGAGGAAGGGGTTAAAAGAGCTCAGCCCTAACTCTGCTTGAATGGAAATCAGTGCCTTCCAGAGGAACAGCACAGGATAGTTTCTTTAAAAAAACAGTACCTGTAATCCTTCCTTATTCATTACCTGTTTTTATAAAGCAAAATTTTCCCATGGAATGAGAAATAAGCACTGCATTATCCCAAGGATCTAGATTTCTGTTACTCTTACACTAAATACAGGCAAGTAGAAACATTTTA